TAGCATAAGTTTGTCAAAAAATTCGTACCCTTGCAATGACTGTTGAAATCACTATTTATAGTTGCACCTAGGGAATAAGGTTCTAGGATCAAGCTTCTCTTAAATGACAATTGTAGGGGCTGTTGAAGAATGTGTAACGACATGCTATGAATGTCATAATTCTCTATAACGGATTATGTATTTAATATTGCAGAAATATTCTTCATTGAATGTTATCGAGTGACAGGCAATCGTTTGTTTTCATTAGCAATATTCCATTCGGGGGCTCTCCGGTCCTAACCGAAGCTGCTTCCCCGGTCTTGGTTTCCACCTGTCTTACTTTTTGTCTGTCTCCGATTTCACGTGTCGCTCTATTATGCGAGTATTTAATATGAACCGATTTTACCCTATACAATAGATAACTTATATTTATGGCAAGTAAAGATTTAATGAATATAAACATACATGTACCACTAAGTCAAAGTTAAAGCAATTATAAAAAGTAGTTATACGAATGAATAACGCAAGTCATTTTCCCTAATTGGTCTTAAATACATTTCCTTTAGCAGAACATCTTCACCAACTAAAAGGAACACTTCTTTTTTGGAGTTTGCTTGAAATACAATTTTTACATAATATTGATTTTTCTTTCGCAAAAACCCCTTACAAAATTTGAACCAAATGCCAACAGTTTGGAATGCCATGTGCCTTTGAGCTTCAGATCCTTCAGTTAGCTTAATTACGGAATAATTTGGTTCACATGCTAATTATTAGGAGATTATAATATGCTTGATTGTTTATCCGTTGAATAATAATGAAGCGATTCTTTATAAGATATATAATAATGTATGAATTGTTATACAATGCAATGACTATTATGTAGGTATTACCTATATCTTAGATATCTTTTTTGTCTTTAAAAAAGTTTTCTATGTATTATTATATTGATGTACAGATTTTTATTCCACAATATATTTCTCATAAATTTTCGCATAATTCAATAATGAGTATTCTTTAATACTTCTAATTAAACGTTATATTAAGTATGCAGGGATTATTTGTTTTTGTACAACCAGCCAAACGCTCTTAGTTATGGCGATGATTACTATTCCTAATCTCTTCAATTAAATATTGTAAATACTGTTCCTAGTTCCTCTTACCAAACGACCCTTAAATATTAATCTTTCACTGCCTTTCTTATGATTCTCTATTTGATGTTGAAACTAAAAGAGAGAGATTTTTAAAAATTCAAAAGGAAATGAAAGTCAAAACAAGAAAACTGCTTGGGAATAGATTAAGAGATTGAAGGTCTAATATCAAATAATTGAGGGAAAAGGGCCAAATATACCCCTCTATTTTAGTATATTATTCATATCTACCATCCGTTATACTATCGGGTCACATCTACCCTTATCATTAGCCAAATTTTTTAAAAATATCCTCCACCTAACAGAAAGCTACCAAATTAAGAAAATACCTATTTTTTTTAAAACTCATTAATAACCTGTTAAATCCTTTTTATTTACTGCACTTCTTACTTACAGATTAGTCATCTCTTTCGTAGCCATTTGTTGAACTTAAGAAGTGAAAGACATAAGAATACCGACAATCATATATTCATTTATATATTGAGTCATGATTCTTTTAATATCCTTATTGTATGTTTATTATAGTCTACTTTTTAATTTCTTTTTTTTTCTAGCTTTTCTCTTTGTTTTTTTCCCACCATGCTGAATTATGCCGAGTATTCACCATGATTTGCTTTTCACCATGACTTGAATGTTTATAGCATCTTATTAGGTTGACAATTATGAAGTCTTAAGGCAGCTACCGAGGTATTTCTTCCTCCAACAATGAGCCTTTGTTGATGATTGTTCACGCACCATATTTTCTTATTCTGCTTTAAGCATTTGAGCAACGAGTAATTATCGTCAAATCACGCCTTAAGAATCAAAGTTAGATTTTAAGCTATGGGATGGGATACTCATAATTCTTAGTAACAACTGAACTTATAAGGAACAAAAATTAAAAAATTATTAGAGGAGATTCAATTTAATATCAAGTTAGAGTCTAAAAAAATTATCAAGAATGAAAGAAAGTACACCAACAAGTTGGAAAGTAATTTAACAACCTAAATACACTAACTTCATGCACTAACCAAATACAAATATTGATAAAGTATATGTCAGTTGTTACCGACATACAAACCAACTATCAAGTGTGAATTGTATTAGACAAAAGGATGTCATATTATAACTACAAAAAAATACAACTAAAAGTGATAACATGACATCCTAATGCCACCATGAACAACTAAGAACTAAAAATATAAGTTCTTACTAAACATACATTCACCATTATTATCGGTCTCTCTCTAAATGAATAAAATATGTTAAGACGTCTCAGAAATTTAGGTTCCGTATTTTTATATGATGGATTTAATGGGTTATAGGTTAATGAATATTTTTTAAAATGATTATTTTATTAATCTAGTGGATTCCGTTAGATAGGGGTATTTTTAAAATAATTTATTAACGGTAAGGGTAGATATGTCCTGATAGTATAACAGAGGGTAGTTATGAACAATATATCAAAGTAGAGGGGTATATTTGACCCTTTTTCAATAATTGATGCACCAAATGAACAACTATTAGCAGGGGCGGAGCTAGAAGTTCGGCTGCGGGTTCGGTTGAACCCAGTAACTTTTGCTCAAATAGAGTATTTATGTTAAGAAATTTATTAAATATGTACAAATATTAAGCTTAGAACCCAGTTATTAGCACTTGAAATCGTCGTTTTAAAATTCTGAACTCATAAGGTTGAAATATTGGCTTCGCCTCTGACTATTAGTAGTACCAGTATCACGTCGAAAAATACACACTATATTTTTTTCATTATGCTCTGAAAATTATGCATAAATTACAAGTTATGAAATTTGCAACCATAGACTTTTTTCTTAGGGAAAAGGGTTAAAGTTGCCCCTCTACTATGCGAAAAGGATTATATTTACCCTCCGTTATATTTTTTATAGAGACGTATCCCTGACGTTAATCTAATGGCTCAAATATATCCATCTTTCGTTAGAGCTGTCCAAGGTGGACACCTAATCCCATGTGACACTATATTTTGATCATATGGACACCACATGGCATGTCTATCTCATCAGCCCCAACCTATCTTACCCCTCCCTTTACTTCCTCTTCCATCACCTCCTCTCCTCTTACCACCTTTGCCACTATCACCACCATTTTCACCACCTTCAGCTCTCAGCCATACACCCCTACTATAAGCATTAGAAATCAACAACTCTATAAACGATACCAAATCCTTGGAGCAACATACCACCAGAACTATATGCAAAAGAAAAGAAATCCAAAATAAAAGATGACTAAGTATCAGAAATGGACTACTCTATTGTAAAACTCCTGAAATGGTACCATTTTTGGAGGAAATACAACTAGAATTATGCAATAGAAAACAAAAAAACAAAAAATTTATAGCTCATGAGTTGACACCTCCAGCATAAAAATTTTCTAAAACGATATAATGCTTGGAGAATACTCAACCACAATTAGGCAAGGGAAAACAATAAAATATAGGTTCATAAAGCATCAAAAATTCACAACTCGGTGAAAAACTTCGCAAATGGTACTAATTCTTGAAGAAAAATACAACTAGAAGCAGTGCCGGATCAAGAGCCAAGCGACTGAAGCAAGGGCTTTAGGCCCCTAAGTTTCTAAGGCCCCATTTATTTTATAATAGCAAAAATAGGTTAATCTATAGTAAGTTTTGTAGAAAATATTTAATATTCATGGTAAAAAAGTATAAGATTCTTATATTAAAAAAAAAAGATGAATTACTTAGTCAATGTGATTGATGGTGACTGGTGATTAATTTATATTCTTAATATTAATATTTTTTTTTCTATTTCATAATAGAACTGTATTTTAAAGTATCCTTTTTCATTACTAAATTGTCTATTTTCTAAACAATATGAACCAAAGGTATTGAATAAATTAAAATTGTACTTTTCGTTATTTCTCTCGTTCTCAAGCATTGCAGCAAACAAATTAAAATTATTGAAATTTCATTCTGATATCAAGTTATAACATTTAAAATCAAGTTCGATTATTCTAACTTGCTAATATCTTTTTTTTTGAATTTAAAATTTATTTTTTGTATCTTTACCTATAGTAGTATATTGCTTTTTATTTTTTTTTATCATAATTTAAATATGCCAACTATAAAGATGAATCAGGTTATTTAATATGATTTTTTTTTTAAAGCTTAAGGCCTCTTAATATTGGCAAAATAATGTCTCTTAATAAACTTCGGGTTTAGGCCCCTAGTGTTCTTGAGCCGCCTCTGACCAGAAGTAGGCAAAATATAACAACCCAAAAAAATAGTTTTTCTAAGCATCAGAAGTCACAAGTCTTGTGTAAAATTTCCTAAGATTCGATTGTTGAAGAGAAATATAACCAGAATTAGGCAAAAGAAGACAACCAGACCAAAGAATTCACTTGGAAGAAAAAAAATTGACAATTGTAGTGTTAAAATTCATGAAATAATATCAATTTATGAAGAAAAATACAGCAAGAGGCGGAGGACGGGTCTATCGTTGAGTAAAGGTGAAGGTGGTGAAACGGTGGTCTGGGGGTGGTGATGGTGGCAATGGTGGTAAAAAGAGAGAAGGTGCTACTGATGGAAGAGTAAGTGGAGAGATGGGGTAAAAAGGGTCGGGGCCGATGAGATGGTATGCCACGTGGTATCCATGTCATCAAATTATAGTGCTATATGGGATTGGGTATCCACCTTTGACAACTCTAACGGAAGGGGGTATTTTTGAGCCATTAGATTAACGTCGAGGCTACTTTTGTACTGAAAGTATAACGGAGGGTAAATGTGATCCTTTTCGGATAGTATAAGGACAAATTTGACCATTTTTCCTTTTTCTTATTCAAAAAAAAAAAAAAAAAAAAAAAAAAAGACTTTTTTTCTTTTCTTCTCTTCAGCACCCTATCTCAAATACAAAAGTTCAGCTCTTGATCCTTCGATTAAATTTAAGCCTCACTCAAAAAAGATCAAATATACATCTTTTTGTTTTCATCAGAGAATATAGTGAATGTGAATCACAAACAAATCCTACCCTAATCTATAAAAAAGAATATTTTCTCCTTACTAAAATTCAAAGAGAATTAAGTCGAATGAAATTTCGTAGTTCAAAATAATCCTCATCTTGAACAAACTGGCTCTTCAGCAATAGTTTCCAACAATGGTTTCTTTGACCTACACATAGACAACCTGTGCTTAAACTCTGGAGTTGAAAACTCTTCAATATCATCCAAATTCAACTTTGGCAAAACTTGTTGCTCATAATTAGCCTGAGGCTGTACTATTTCCAAAGCAGAATACTCTACACATGATTCAGGCAAGATTCTGAAACTTCCAATTGACACCCTTTTGGACACAGAGTTAGCAGTAAGTAGCAAAGCTCCCATATCAGCTGCTGAGACAAATGAATTTACTCTTTTCATAGGAAACATAGCATAGACATTGCCCATATCAAGATCTTCATCAGCATTCAGAGCAGAAAATCTCCTTCCAATTTTAAGTGACCTTGTGTTTACAAGAAAGAAATTAGGTGTCTCTAACATGACCTCTGCTGNTTTACAAGAAAGAAATTAGGTGTCTCTAGCATTACCTCTGCTGCTTTTATTGGTTGATAAAAATGTCTGATTTCACCACTTGGGAATATGACTTTTACACCTCTTGATTGTTTGTTGCCTCCTGGTCCTAATAAGGTACAAGAAATATAGTTGCCCATATCAATAACACAAGATTGAATATAATTTTTGTGGATTTAAGAGAATAGAGATGAGTTCTTGGATTTGATTGTTGAGGATGAGAATGAGGTAGTCTAGTCGTATATATATATATATATAAATGATGAAGGGATAATGAGAATGTTGGTAGTGGGAAATTAAAAGAAAAAGTCAAAAAAAGGAAAGCATAGTAGAATATAGGATGAGTAGAAGACAGTTGTATAAAGTAAGGGAAACAAATAATGTGGAAAAATGAAAGTGGCGAAGGGTAGCCACATGACAGTTGACATCCGCGTTCAATTGAGTGGGATGATAATATGATATACATGTACCCGAAGTCGAAAGGAAAGTACGTTTATCTAGTTTCTCCTTTTTTAATACTTAGTACGTTTATCTAGTTGGTTTCTATGATTTGAGGGTATCCAATTTCTTTATTTTTCTGTTAAATGCGTGTGGAGCCCATGCTTGATTTTCCTTTACGTATCATTACTACCAAATTCTGGTGTAACACACATTGATTTAATTTACTTGTTTTTCTCCAAAATAGTGAACGCTACTTTTACTTACTAAAGTTGATGGAGGGCAGAAGAAAAAGCCGACCGGTGCATAAGGGATTTCTTGTAGAGTTCGGAAAAATGTCACACTCAAAGGATATAATATAGATAACCTAATTTAATACAAGTATTATTGGCTGTTACGGTTCGAACTCATAATCTATATGTCACACGAAAATAACTTTATCGTTGCTTCAAGGCTACCCTCCACTAAACTTGATGAAGGCACATATAAAGATAAAAAGTAGAGTTGTTTTACAAAGGTGTCCTCTATGATGGCGTACAAAAAGATTTTTGCTGATTTCTATTAATAAGTTGTATTTGAAGGGAGCTTTCGCGTAATTGATAAAGTTGCTACCATGTGATCAAGAGTTCACAGGTTCGAGCCGTGGAAACAACCTATTACAGAAATGCAGGGTAAGACTGCGTACAATAGACCCGTGTGGTCCGACCATACCCTGCGCATAACCTATTCTCTTAATTAAAATGTTTTTAGGTGCAGCCTATTCTCTTTTATTATATATAATTGTGCGATTTTCAAGAATTAAAACCCGATATACTTCCTAAATTCGACCCACATGGCCACTACCAGTCTACCACTAAGTTTGATAACAAACAATAATTGGAAGTGAATTTCAGGTGGGTAAAGGGAGCATTGTCTCCCAACCTCTATGAGTTTATGATAGTTGCTTAGAACTTGATATAACCTATAGAACTTGAATAAAGCTAAATTTGTTGAACGTGGTGTGCTGTCCAAAGTTCCAACTAAGTTGAATTATAAATATACATAAGATCAGCTGCCGGTGCAATTTAGGTGTGCAATGCTTAACTTTAAGTAAGTCTAAATGTTTTGCATCATGTGTATTACTATTACCTAAAGACTAAAGAGTTGGAACCTTGAGTTCACCAAAATAATAAGGAGATTGTGTAAGAAAACTTAGTGGGCATACAAAAAATGCAAATGTCTATGAGCGGGTAGACAATTACATAGGACCAAATATATAGTAGAATTACTTTTAAATACTTTTTCCGATAGAATTATTATAATTTCTTTTTCAAATTTGGAATTATTTTAATCTCTCAACCTTTGGCGTATGGTATTTCAAAACATATCGGTACATTATGTAACATAACTATATAGTAGTAACTTTCATGTTACTTAATTTATGATTTTGTAATCACCAATAATGTTTTTGAATTAAGGGTGTGTTTGGTATAACGGAAAATATTTTCCAAGAAAATATTTTCTTGGAAAATAAGTAATAATCTTATTCATTTTTCGGTGTTTGGTACGCAAATTAAGGAAAATAACTTCTCAAGAGTATTCATAAATAATTTAGATACAATAAACATGAAATCATAAACTTTCGAACCAACAACCTTTCGAATCCACAAATTTCATAAACTTTTGAACCGCTAAACTTTCGAAACCGCGAAATTTCGAACTCATAAACTTCATTATTTCTAAACCCGCAAACTTCCAAACACATAAACCTCCGAACTCATAACTTGTAAAATTTCGAACNAGGGGGTAGGGTTAGGTGGGTGGGTGTGAGGGTGTGGGATGGGTGGGTGAGGGTAGGAAAGGTTGAGATTGAGTTTTGAAAAATGTTTTCCCTTCTCTTGATAAAAAGAAAACATTTTCGAAAATGAATTCATAAGGAAAATGTTTTCCAAAATAGAAAAATTGAAAAACTATTTTCCGAAAAATATTTTTCTTCGGGCCAAACACACCCTAAATCTTCTCTTGTTTGAATTATGGACAAAGTCTTTTTAAATTTTATATTGTCACTTATCAAATTTTTTCGAGAAGTTGTAGAGGCTACCTCTTCGTTCTTAAATCTATAAAAGAAATTTAAACATCATAGATACTCATATAATACTTAATTGTTATGACAAGAACTTAAAAAATGAAAGAATAAAACTAAAAATATGAAATAAGAACTAATTTGGTAAAATTAAGTTGTGGGACAAAGTGAGACGAACAACCACCGGAATGATCTAAAGTCCTTAACATGATCAACAATAAAAAAAATTTCTTTTGTTAAATTTTATTTATAACTCAATCACATATTTTGAATATTATTTAATAATTTTAAATAATTTATTTTATTCTTTAAAAATGATTTCATATTTGATAAATTAATATTTAATTATATATTTAGGACTACAAAAAACAAGGAAGCTTTTATTTCATAATTCATTTCCTTATTTGAATGGTGTAAATTAACTATAATTCAATTATAATAAATTATATAAAAATTAAAAATATAATTCAGTTAAAAAAATTAGGACTTTCGGTCAGTATATTTAACCGTTGGGTAGAAAAGCAGTAATTTTGTGTAGAGGAGTCAATATGGGCTGTGTCGGGTTAGCTCAGCCCAGCCCACGTGGGCTTTAACAATTGATGGGCTGGGTTGGGCTAGCCCACCATTTTGATGGACCTTATAATGCTCAGTCCATCCCAGCCCTATGTGGGCCACTGGCCCCCACGGCCCAGCACATTATGTTTTAAAAATATATTTTTATATTTTTTCTTTAAGTTCTAACCTAAAAAGAGATAAATATTTAAAAGTTAAAAAATATAGGTTATGTTACCAACATGTTTACTTTCATTGTAGGTAACGTATTTGGGTTCAAAGCCCTGCTTATTGGAAAAATATCGTAAAACTTATTAAATTTTTATACTATTCCACTATATCACAATAAACATTAAAAAAGTAAAAGACAAGAACAAGACACTATATTTCATTCACTAAAAGTCAAAAACTCAAAACAAACTATTCAAGAGAACGTCCATGGCGCTTATGGGATACCCAACACATCATCTTCATCAAACACATTTGAATCCGCTTGTGACAAGGTTGTCTTAACATCTTCACTTTCATCTATATCTACAATTCATATACAATATTAATTAATTAAAAATTAAGAATATTTAAATTTTAAAAACTAATAATATTCAAATTCACATAAAAAAATATTACGAGTTTGAGTTTGGGTAAAGCCGTGAAGCCAATTTCAAGTAGTAACTAGTGTTTGAACATTTTCATGATGATGCAACTTTTGTACTTTGTCAGAACACGCCCACCAATGCTAAATGCTAATTTCGATGCTACAGTGGTAATAGGAATACTAAGTACATCACGCGCCATTAATGAAAGATTGAGATATTTTCTAGAATGGTCATTCTAATACATGACAGCATCCATCTCTTGAAACTTCTCAAAATCAAGCTTTGGGTCCTATAAGTAAAGATCCAATTCTGACTTTCCATCACTAGAGGCAATATACTTTTTATATTTTATATATTTTAAATAAATATTTTATTAGGCCCACAGGCCGGCCGGCCCAATCTCAGTCAAGCCTCACGGGTCAAGGGCTTTAAAGCCTCATTTTTAAATGGGCTTCACAAATTCTAGCCCAATCCTACTAAATCACGGGTTGGGCTGGCCCAAACGGGCTAAGTCCATATTGTGGTGTTGTGCAAAAGCGTTTGTTTCTTAGTCTGTCTCTCTTCCTATATTGTTTATGTTAAAAGTGGTAAGAAAAATTCTTATTTCCAATTTTTTCTATTTATTTTATTTTATTAGAATAAATTAAATCATTTTTAGATTAAATGATATAGCAATAAACTTAATGTAGATATATGAAATATACAACATATCGATTAGTGTATTGTCTATCTAATTATGAATTTGACCCTTTTATTTATAATTATATAGAAACTAATAAATATTCTACTTGAGTTAAAAAATACATCTATAATTTAAAAAAACACTTCCTTTGAAGTAGTTGTCTTAATTTACTAAAACCTTACTTCATTAATTCGAGTAAATTTTCTTGCACTAGCCAAATTTTTAGTAATTTTCTTTGTATATAGTCTCGATTCATATTTTAAAAAAATATTTTTTTAATATTTCAAATATCATTTTTTTTAAATATGATATTTTTACAAAATATATTTCCATTGATACGGGACGGGTAGACGTACAACGCGCGTACTCTAAGACTAGTAATATAAAAATCCGATTCCCAAGAAAGAGCAACTCGTGAATCGTGATAGGATAATAGCCGAGTCACGAGGTCATATGCACAATCTCAGTACTAGCAAAGAACATTATTCTTTTATTCCCTGATTAAAAATAATGTTTTGGAAATTATTAGTTTTTCCGTATATCATTGGTTATGTACTAAATCATTGATTTTCCATCTTACTGGTGCCACTACTAAAAGAGCTCGTCGTTGTTGAGAAAGCCATCTCATGTTCACATATCTTCAGCTCACCCTCCTATTTTGCTGTACACATCATTATTCTTGCTTCATTGCACTTGATTTGGAAGAATACTTTTGCTATTTGCCATATGAAATGCATCAATATAGTTTTAAGTTGCTTTACGATCATTAAATAACATGGTATTTGGTTATTTCTTTTAATGTTCGCCTTTGACTCTGTCGGTATAAATTATTTAGTTCAACTTAAACCCAAATAAAAGGAGAAGATGATATACATAGATAGCTAATGTAAGTCGAATTATGTTGTATCCACTAAAAATACGGATACAACATATTTGATGCATATAATCATACTTAAGAGGAATTGTCAAATTATTGGTTAAGAGGGATTTTCATCTAACTATTCTTATTGTTTCTAAGTTCTAACTTCCTTACGTTTTTTTGACTGGATAACCCATCCAACTTTTATTTTCTTCTTTTTGTTGCTTGTTTTTTCCACTTTTCAGATATGCAAATAATGTACAATTCCAGCAATCCCTTCATTCTTTATCCAAAAATTGACACATCCGTGAATCTGCTCTTCGCCTATTGCCACCGTCAGATCCAAAGTTCTATTCCCACATCCTTAAAAGAAGAAAATTCCTCATTCATAAAAGATTAAATAAAATGAGTACAGGTATGGCTGCAAAATAGATCTTATAATTGTACAGCTGTTCCTTATTTATCTTTAATTAATCCATATACATTTTAAGTCAACACAAGAAGTTTTTGTTTAATTTTTTCTTCTTTCCAACTCTAAAATTGTATATGTATTAATTTTAGTATGTTGCAAGGTCAAAGGATTTATTTAATACTAAAATATAACAAAAAGATTAGGAAGAAGAATTCATAAATTGTAACATAAAGTCAAAAACATGAAAGTCAACTAGGAAAAGTCATAAACTTTTCATTAGATTCATGAATCAGAATCAGAAGTGTTCTTCACTGACTTATTTAATACTAAGCAAACTTGTTTACTTAGGGCTTTTGCTTTTGTTACACGGCGGACAACCTGCTTTTCTTGATAATAAAGAAACCTCTTCTAGGATTTCTATGACAGTAGCAAATGATGGTCTCGTAGAAGGAACTGTGCTGGTGCAGTCCTCAATTAACCTGCAGATCATAACAATATTGTATCAATGTAGATACAAAAAATCCTCGTCCAATTGTGACGTTATGGTCATCTCAACATATGCTGAATCACTGAGTTGCTTGTATACTACAACTCAGATGGTTAGCACCCCCACGTACAACCCCAGGGTCGTGGTTTCGAGTCACCAAAGGAGAAATAACTTCAACAAAGGGGAAAATAGTACCACTAAGCTTCTTATCAAAATGGGCCCTGACGTCTTTCCCTTTTCAGTATGGCGAGAGTGATACTACAAATGCTAGAACATTAATGTGATTCATTACTAATTTACTAGCTAATCGACATATTCTTATTTCGTATGAATAACTTGGAGCCGACTAACTAGCTAATGCACATTCTCTCTAAAAAAAAAAATACCTATGTACATTTGTATAAACAAAATGATAGAAGACAGATGCTAGCTTAGACCAAATAGAATATTAGCTTTTATTAAAGAAAGCAAGATAGAGGCCAAGATTTAATAAGAAGCAGTGAAAAAAGAAGAAATGGAAAGCTCGGATGTTCAGGTGATGCAACCAAAATCACTTGAGTATAAAGTTAGCTCAGTGCATGCAAGGAAATCCTTCGATCAATTGTAGACCAGTCACACCTTTATATGGGAAAAAACACATGTATTGAAGAAGTTAAAGAAAGTCTCACATTTAGTTAGTGCATTGACTTACTGAAGAATTCTGCTGGGATATCGACCTGTATACAACTTTTTCTCCAAATCAGAATTCCTGTCAGTTATTTGTCTTCCTTCCAGCATCTGCAGCACTTCAGAGTTAGTGTTGAATCTTAAAGGAAACACATATGATAACAGTCAATTCAAGTAAACAGAAATATGACTTGCTGAATATTCAAGCCATCAATTTTCACTGGCAATGTACCAAAGCAGTACAAGTGCCAGCAAACAACCACCTGCACTGGATCATATTGACATGCGCTGATAAATGTAGCATAACACAACTCCTTGAATCTACCTGATAAAAGATGACACCAAATGAATAAATATCTTTGCTAATGTCATGAGACAAATGGCTGATAAAGTTACATCCATTGTTTAATTGGCCTGAAAAAGAAAGACATTGGTTATAAATAATTAACAGTACCGTGGCAAAAAGTAGAAATATATACAAATAAGAGAAAACTAAAAAGTCTTCATACAACAGTCTTGATTTGCATATATCCGGTTATCTAATATTTGAACCCAATATTCACCGATCTTCAAGTGGCCACCTTCATCTAGTAACAAGTTCCTGGGCCAAATTAAATAAAAGACTTCAGTGAAGGTGCCAGCTAATAACTCAGGATAGACAATATTCTACATATAGCTTAACTTAATTCTTTAGAACTTGCTTCATAACCTAAGTAAATTACTTAGTTTTCATGTCAGCATAAATTAAAATGGTTCTGCACTTAATGAAATAATGTTACAACAGAAGAACTCTCTAGAATCCACTGCAGAAAACTATAGACAGACACACTGAAAGAAAAGGAGCATACATTCATGTAGTAATCATAAGAATTCAGCACAGAGAAAGATCTAAACTAGAAGTTAATTATATTCCCTGATTCTATTGTTGGAACACAGACTAAGTTGCAATTCCAAAGTATGCAAGATAAACAAAGACAGAACAGAAGCGAGATGTCAATAAGGAATCAAAAAGGGAAGGAACATACTTCGGATGCAAGTTTTTGTGAACTATAGGCAAAGGCCTGTGCCGATGGAGGTAATTCATTCCCCTGTCAGTCAACTTTAGCACTAAAATGACTTGTTCTTTGACATAATAAAACAAAATCAATTGAAATAGAAAAGAAAAGCAATATTCTACCTAGCAATGTCAAGTGCATAACGCAAAGCAGTTGGGGGGTCAAGGCGCTTTCTCAAAATATCTTGCAAGTTCCCCTGACAAACAACAAAAAGCAGAATAAGGAGTGTATCACGTTTAAGGACTATCAGTTACCAGTTTTAGCAAATCAATGAAAGACCTTGGGTGAACTTTTCTGGAGTCAATGTCTGAACTTTATACAGTACTAAGTTATAAGTATCACAGAAGGAAGCATGACCATGCTGTGCGCTTATCGCATACGTCTCACTAATGATTATTGATAAATTGAACAATGTCATCACTCCCTACCTAACAGCCATGTTTATTGGCATTACTTAGCTCCTATAATAGAAACAACTACTATACTGTTTCTGCCTATTTCATTGATTGAAAATCCTAAGACACTTACTTTTGGCAAATACTCAGTGATCAAGATCATTTCGTCTCCATGCACAATTGATCCAAGAAACTGTAGAATATTTGGATGTCGAAGTTCCCTCAGCAAAGTATTGACCTTTGCAGAGAACACCCTGCAGCAAGCATATTGAAGACAAAATTATTGGAAGAATTATCCGGAAGGCCCTTTTTAAATCATTAAAGTAAAAACAAGAAGAATTGAATGCCTTTTGATTACTGTTTTGACCACCCACGTTCCACGCCATTTGACCTTTTCCGACTCACCGAATAAACCCTGTGAAATAAAAGAAGTCTAAGTTCCTTGAAAGTAACATGCTAAGTAAAATAAACGGCCCTTCTACTGATACAATTCTCATTTTCTATATGCTTGACAGTTGTTTCCTTAGAAGACCTATATATATTTTCTTGAGAAAGTTCCTCAGACGATATTTAACACCACTGACATTACAAGCTTTGGATAATTCCCTATTAATACCTGCTCAATGATTGATGAGTGCTGCAAGTTCAGTTCAGATATGTCAATATTCACTTCAATCGAATCCTCTTCACGCCGAACAGTCTGCATGTAAGAGAATTCAAACTTAAAATATCTCACTCAGATTGATTAGCAAAAACAACAAATGAGTAAATGGAAAACACAGTGTCATAAGTAAATTGGATTTTCGTTTACTGCACCAATCTGCTTGGCATTTTGATGAGTGAAAACTTACCCTTGCATTTGGAACTAATTCCAAATTTGTTCCCAGTATTTTGGCCTATTTTCATCTGATTTCTGGAAAATAAGTTAGTTAATCCTCCTACTAGTGGAAATGACAGAACTCAAAATTAAATATTCTTAGATTCAGCTACCTCAGCCACCTTTTCAATATCCTCCCCCCACTCCCTATTTAAGTCTGCAACTCCAATCCCACGCCTACCAATCTTACATGCAATGATAGTGTGATGTTCGAAGGTGTACAGAAGAATTGTATGGCCCTAGAAAGGGGTGAAGGGTTGAGAAGATTGAGTGAAGTAATTTGATTGGTTGCATTAATGCAACAGGTGAACGCAAGCTAAATACCAAAGCAATGATATAGGACGAGAATAAGTACAATGCTTAGTTTGACGATACAAAGTGCAATTCAAGCATACCTTTATAAAGATAGATTCACAAGTTTATATTTTTGTACAAATCGTCAAAAGCTCTGAGTGTCCTAGATCAGTGGTTCAAAGGTGACTGAAGAAACCATTTCACAGCTAGAAATCGTCACTAATGAAGTTCAACCGAACATCACCTTTACAAGCAGTCTGTGTAAACAACATTTGTAGCTAGAGCCACATGCTATTGAAGTTACAGAGTCAATCATTATTTAAAATCACTAATGCATTTGCAACTTAAACCATGAAAAGCTTACTAAAGGATGATCACTGTTGGAATCCTTGCCACCATAGACCTCAAGGATCCTGCATATGTCACGATGCCCATACAGTTTCGCATCTGTCAAGGGCTTAACATAAAAAATTGAAAGGAAAATAATGATTGGTTAGTCCCTCATAAGATCATCTGCATTACATCTAAAGCTACACCTTTTCTATGACTAGTTCAGTAGAGCTAGTGATACCACATTAATTCCGCCTTGATGATGCTTCATATGATTACCCATTATTATAAAAACAACCAGTTCATTTAGGTAATTACAAGCAAATCTATATGATAACCGTTAATTGCTATTCTGGTAAAAATGGGTAACTATCTACTATCACAGGTTAAACGGGAAAAATCATTACATTGTCTGTGTATATTAAACATATATAAATTTGGTTACTTTATCAGGAAAGATAAGCAGAGAAAATAATTACTACTATTAATTAAGGTACTCACGGTGCGTCGCCACCTATCATTGAGATTAACATCAGCCTTGTAAGCCAAAAGAAGCTCAACAATAGAGGCGTGGCCTTCACTAGCAGCAAGATGGAGAGCAGTTCGTTTATCATAGTCCTGCACATTGGGAGAAATACCCTGCCTCAACATCTGGTTTAGCCCAACTCTGTCACCCCTTGACGCGAAACTCAAGAAAGTCCCTATCAGCTGCATGTCTAAACGCCCAATATCTGATGATTCTTTATGCCGCATAATTACTAATGGACTCTCCATATCTCTCAACAATCGATCTTTACTCTTAGAACAAAAGTTCAAAGTATGCATGTACAAGTGAAGATATTTAACATAGTAAACGTGGCGGTTTACTCGAAGAAATGGGGTTTGGGTTTTAACGAAGTTTGCTTAGTTCTTGTATATTCTTCGACCCCAGGCTCCGGTCCTGATTCCCGAATCCAAGATCCTTAGATTCATGTTCATTTTGGTGTTTACGATTCGTCCACTTCTATCAGAGGAATATATCTTGTTGACTTGTACCTTGTTTAAGTTAAGTTTCAATACCAACATAACCCTCTATACGATAATTTTATTTTCATCTTTGTGATTCTTTCTTTTTAACCTTCACTTCCCCTTTCCCTCATGTGATAGAAGAAAATTAAAAAAGAATACACTGTTTAGCGTGCAAATGTCCCAATTAAATTTTTGATAACTGAATAATGAAAACATTAGAAGTGCAAAGAAAAAGTTTTTCTTCTGAAAGAGAGCAGAGGCTGTTGAGCGGGGGCTAAACTGCAAAGAGGCCCAAGAGTTGGACAATCCAACAAGAAAATTGTGTGGAATCAGGATTAAGGAAGCACGTGACAAAGGGAATAAAAGGGGTTATGGTCTAGATTTAGGATTAGGCAAATGTTACGTGAAAAGCTCTTTATTTTTCATCTCTCTCTAAACTTCTCATCTCTTTCTCCTATCGTATTTTTCTGTCTTCTCGTACCTCTCTGATTCTCCTCTATTGTTGTATTTTAGTTAGCATTTCTAATTCCCGTAATGTCTTGAGTTGAGTTGTAATTTCCTTCTCATTGTTGAAGGAATAGAAGTGTTTGGGAGCTGGTTTGTTTCGGTGCACATAATTCTTTTGTTTCACTGCCAAAACTAGGCCCCAAGTCCATAAAAGTAGTACCTTTTTTTAACTTTTCTCTTTTGTTGCTATACATTGATTTTCTTTTCCAAAATATCAAATCATGATGTATCAATCGTACTTATGTCATACATATTTAATAATGATAAATAAGTGTGGTCCATGAAATGGCTATTTGAGTTTGTGTAACACTACTTATGTGTGGTCCTATAATATCACCCCGTCCCAAAGTGAAAAAAGCAGGGTTGGTGATTACCCGTGTTTTGCACAGTTGAATTTGTACGTGATTTCTAGACAAGTGAATTAATTTGATCCTAAAATAATCGATGAATTATATGAATATAAAATACTTAGCCTTGAAATGGAGACGAAATAGCAGAGATAATACTTATCGGGCACAACAATAATGAAATCAAAAAGCAAGAAGATAAGATTATATTAAGCTTTGAATAGAGTGTAGCGTATGTTTTCCATAAAATTCACGTCCTTTACAATGATAATAGAACTCACTATTTATAGATTCACCTAGGGAACAAGGTCCGTAGGATCAAGCCCTTCTTTAATGTCAATTATGAGGGCCATTGAAGAATGTGTAACAGCGAGCATGAATACCATATACTTTGTAACGGGCAGTGTACTTAATGCTGTAAAATATTCTTCATTAAATGCTACTGGGTGACAGACATTTATTTTGTCTTTATGAGTATCATTCTCTCCGATAACAGACGGGATAGTTGCCTTTCGTTTCAGCTATCCTCTGTGTTCGGCTCTACGTGTCACTTCCTTATGCGATCATTTAATATAACATATTTTACCCTATATAGATAGTCCTCCCGCTTTCCAATGGCATAACTTTGTGTCACCGGGAAGTTGTAGAAATATTCTTTTTGGCGGAAAATTTACTGACCCCTCTGAAAAGTTTCTCACGGTTGATTAGACGCACGTCTCTCCGCATTTAATGCCCTGAACACGCGTCATCCCACGATTCAGTATAACTTTTGCCGGTTATCGAGGCAATTATAGCCACGAGTTTACCCACCTAATTGGCTAAAACTCTTTCATTCTCACCTCATAATACTCTGAATCTTCTAAAACCTTCTTTACTCGGCTCATACTTCGACTTTAACCTTTCTTTAGCTTCCTACTTTGAGAGAAAAATCATCCCCTTGATAAAAAAAAATGGCATCTTCTTCTTCAAGAAAGCCTAGCTGTCCGAAGAACAAAGGCAAAGTTGATGATGTTGCTTCTCCTACGGTGAGTACCATCGTCCCGAAGAACCTGATTATCACCAAAGATTTTGAAGAGAAATACCCTTATGCTCATCCTCGAACGTGGGCTATTAGCGTATACCCTTCTTCTATCCGTCCTTCCAGTATCTCCACTGTGAAGGAAGACTGCCATTGTCAAGATTTGGACATTATCGCTCCCGACCTGGCAGAACGGATAACTTTACCCAAGAAGGGTTATACATATTTTTACACGTATCCCTTTACTTTGGGAGCATTTTCTTTGAGCGGAGAGCTTGACTCCGTCATTGTGGAGCTCTACCTCCGTTATCAAGTGTGTTTGGCACAGGTAAGCCCTTCCGTGTGGAGGACAATGCTTGTCTTTGCACCTGTGCCAGGAGACGGGAGAAGAGATATCCTTAGCTCGAGTGATGAACCTCTATTCCCCCCAAATCTTCCATGGGGGAATGATTAACTTCAGCAAGTGATGCCACCATGTACTGCTATCCAGCATGGATAATGATTAACGACTGTGGGTGGATGGAACAGTTCGTTTCAGTCGCCACCAGTGACATCATCCCGACCTCAGCTCCTGCTTTCCCGGAATTATGGAACCAAACTCGTAAGTCTATCATTTGTTTCTTTCTTTTTTTTATAGATTATTCCTCATCATTATTGACCCTTCTTCCTTTACCTAGTTCAGCGACTCGGTGGGTTTCCCCTAGGGTTGAGGGCTTGGACCAATGGGTTCAGAAAATTTTGGACGTCACTACGCCGGAGACACGAATGTGGAAAGAGTTGTCCCTGAAATATGGCTGAAAGGCCGAAAATCATGGTAAGTTGAACTCATCTTGTTTTTACTTTTCTCATAAGGAAATTGTTTGACTCTTCTCTCCTGTTGAGTACAGGTCTACCCCAGGGCTCAGTTGTCGTCCTCGAAGAGGACGTTTTGGCTAATCCTACTGATACGGCGAGGCTTCTACAAGAGGCTTTTACACAAACAGGTGTCTCCGTGCCTGCTTCTGGTGCAAGTGCTTCTTCTCGGAGTCCCCGACCGGAGAACAATCAACCAAAAAGAAGGCGTTCCTCCGCGGCCGAGGGAAACAATAAGAGGGCAAAAAATGTCACCCCCGAGTCATCTTCGAAAGTCGTGGTGACGAGCCCTCCTCCCGGGCCGACCATAGATACCATGATGATTGATGATGATGGAGAAACCAACGATGAGAGGGCTTCTCTACACAGAAGACGACGACCTTCCTCNGGGGGGGGGGGGGGTTGAGATGGTGGAAAATGCCAATTCTCGTTTTCGGATCCCAATATCTGCGCCCGGTATTATGAGGTTGAGTACCGGGTCTTTGCCGTCTTCGAATGATGAGCAACCAACACCCAGCGTTGCGCTTACCACAACCACTTCTCATCTTTCAATGCCATCAGCTTCATCTCCTTCTTCACCGACTCTCCCACCAGCAACTGCTATGACATCTCCACCGACCGTATCTGTCCGAGAAGATGATGTTCCTCTCCTCCAGTCCCCAGTTCATGGGAATTTGGGGCAAAATTAAGTCACTCCCTCAGAAGATCCGCAAAGGAGGAGGAGCTTTACTCTCTCGGTCTCTAGCGGGTGCAATCTACTGTCCCGGCCGATGGAACTTGCTAACTATCTGAAGCCAAACCTTTGGCTTCAGAAAAAGATTGGAAAAAGATACATGCTTTCTCGGGAGATTTCTTTTTGAACAATGCTATGCACAACACCGCAGCAGTATACTCTACATTCCCTTTGTCATTTCTTCTATCTATGATTTAGTAGCATTTTAAGTTTGTCTTTCTTGTTTCGCAGGCAAATTTCCTTGCTTCCGATGGCCTCCAAAGGTTGATTCGGGAAAGTGAGGAACTTACGTCTGAGCGGGATCAACTTTTGGCCTAGCGGGACCAAACGGTTGCTCACATCTAAGGCTGGAAGCCAAAGCTGTTGAGGCTGTTGTGTTGGAGGCTCGTTTGCAGCAAAGCGAGCAAGAAGTAGAGACCCTTAGCCAAGTGATCGCCCCGTTGAGGGTTCAATTTGAAGAGGCTAAGGCCAAATGGGTTTAAGTCCATAGTGTCGTTCTTGCTGCATCCGATCACGAGGCTACCTCCGCTGAAAGATTAACTAATTTGGAGGCAACCTTGAACTCCAAAACCGAAGAGCTTGTTGCTGCCGGGGTGAAATATGCCAAACTGGAGGAGAAGTATAAGAGGACCATTGAGAATAACAGACTTTTCAGCTCTACTGTATGTGACCTCTATGTTAGACTACGGTCCGTTAGATCCGTACGGGAAAATCTTTCTGCTGAGGTTGACCAACTTAAAGAAGAACTCAAGCACTGAGAGACTTCCCTCGTTGTTGAAAAAATATATGTTATGTATAGCATGAGGAGAAAAACCTTGGAAGAGGCTAAAGTGGGTGTCATCGACTTTGATGCCGAAATCGCTAAAGCCCGTGAGCTGGAGTCAACTGCTTAAAGGGGTCTTCCGGCTAGGCGTGATACTTTCGGTTCTTCTGGTTCCGGTTCTGAATCCTGGAACTGAAGAGGAACCGGAAGGCGAAGATGTTGAAGGACAAAATGATGAGGGTCAAGATATTGAGTCGGCGACAGATCTACCCACTTCCCCTAGGGGCGCGGATGCTTCTCTTTCTCCGGGTTCCGGAGATGCAGTAGCTTAGCTTTTCATTTCTTTTCCCAACTTTTCTACTTATGCCATTTTGGCACATTTATTGTAAATAAAAATACCTTTTGCTCAAGTATTGCATGAGTCTTTATGCATTCTTTTGTTTGAACATTTATGCAAGTTTAATCTTTGCGTTTTATCTTGCTTAAGTGTTTTGCGCAAATTTTATTATTTGCGTCCGATTATGCAAGGCTTTGGGTGTATTTTTCCTTGAAAGCATTAGGATTTCGCGCACAAGTTCTTCCGAAATCAACCCTTTATCGTGAGGGTTTTCATAAGAGAGGACCCTCTTATGTTTACGGTGCTCTTGAAGAGGACGTCTCATGTTCATTATGGCATTAACACTTGAAGTACATGTTTAACTTTCAAATGACAAAATCATTTCATTGTTCAGACAAGAAACAAGAGAGAAATAAAAGAACTTTACTTTATTTCTTCCATTTTCAAAAAGTACATGAGCATTCATTATGCTAAAAAGAATTTGTCGTTTCTTATGGCCGTGCAGTCCCCGTTCCCTATGATACAACTATGTTTCCGGTTTTCGTATTCCGGTCAACGTGGCAGTCATTGTTGTCGTATCCTCATATCATTCCACCCCCAATGTTCGAATGCGAATAATGCGAATTTGAACACTGGAAGTTTTGCATCTTCGAGGATTCCACTAATGAATTGCTAGATAATCTTCAGTGCGGTAACAACTTCACTTTCCCTTAGGAATTTATGCTATCGAGCCAAAGACTATCTAATAATCCCCTAGTGGCTTGCACTTGTAAACGGTCGGGTAGCCTTTGTTCGATAGCAAACTTAACTTCCCGGTGGGAACTTTTCTACCGAGCAAAAGATTATCTAACCGCTCCGGAGTGGTTCTTCGCTTGTGTGCCTTGATATTAAAAGGTCTTATTGCT